AAAAAAAAAAAAAAAAAAAAAAAAAAAAAAAAAAAAAAAACCCAGCACACCTTAACCCTTATGTTAGTAACCAAATCTACCGACGTCTTGTAGCAACCAGTCTGGGTATTAAAAATTTTGTTTACTTTAATAATTATCTTCAAATATTAACAGTCAGTGACAATTTAAAGAAAAAATAATAATAATAACAACGTAGAATCGTGAATGACATCTGAAACCTATTTGGGACACCCCAGGCAGTCGGCCGGCTTTTATTGTTTGGAGCCGAGCAGATGCCGTTCGAGAGAGAAAGAAAAACTCAAGGTTATTTCTTTGTTTTCTTTCGCGCACTAGATTCGAGCATTTTTCAGTATGTAACAGATTTTTGGTGGGATCAGACGTGTTTCATTTGGTGTTCTCTTGACAGTGAAAAATAAAGCTATGGAACAATTATCGAGAGCTGACTATGCTCGGTAAGTAAACGTTACATATATTTAGCATTTGTAGATATTTTAATTACAATTTTTGTAACATAATTATAATTATTTACGACGTATATCACATAATATTTAATTTATTAGGTTAAGGGCAACCGAAAGGAATGAGTACTTGAGGAAACTACTTAGAGAACACGACAGTGATTCGAGTAGGGTTTCTGATAGCGATGACGAAGACTGGATTCCAGCAAATAGAGCTAGACATCAAAATCAACAAGGTAATTCAGTGCGTGATGACCAGAAGATTCTGAAGATACAGAAGAAATCGCTGAAGAGAATTCAGCAGTAGAAGAAGAAGTTGAGAGTAGCGAGAGTGAGGATGATGACAATAAAGTAGGAACAGCTAAGCCTGAAGGTAGTAAAATATTTGTTCTTAGCAATGATTGAAATAATAATTATTTTTCTTAAATAATCAATTAATGTTGTTATTATTATTTTAGGAAAAGCTCAAGAACCATCTGGGAGTTTAATTGCCAAAGATAAAGCATTGTGGAACAAAACTCCACCAACTCAGCATCAGACCGCAGCTCATAATGTTGTACGCCAGCGGAGTGGGCCTCATCGCAGTACGGAAACGTTGTCAATTAGCGAGACTTTCAAAAAATTTTTTACCTACGAAATGGTTGATATAATCGTCCGTCACACTAATAAAAAAGCTGAAACAATTTTCCAAGAGTACAATGCTAACCAACCAAACTCACAGCATCAATGGAAGCCCGTTACGATACCCGAAATTTATTCGTTTTTCGGTATCTTGATTTGTAATGGAGCAAATAAATCGAATACAGATCATACATTTGACATGTGGCACTCCAATTCTTATCCGCTGTATCGCGCGACGATGGGATTGACGAGATTCCATAATAACGTAAAAAGAAGACAAGGCAGCTCCGATTCTCCAAGGGATTATGCACACTGGTAAAACTGATAATACTCGAGAAAAAAATCAGGGTGAAAGAGTAGTGAAATAATTGGCGGCTCCGTACCGTAACATCCGTAACATCTGCATTGATAACTTCTTTACTACTGTACCAGTCTCTAAACATTTGTTGTCGTGAAATATTACCATTGTTGGCACGCTAAAATAGAAAAAACCTTACATCTCTAGTGTTATGGGAGCGCATAAGACACGACAGCAGTATTCGACAGTTTTTGGATTTCACGAAAAGGTTACCATGTGTTCCTACGTTCCTAAAAAAAATAAAGCTGTCATTCTGATATCTACAATGCATTCAGATATATCAGTTGGTGATGACGCTAAACGAAAACCAGAAATAATAAATTTTTATAATAAATATAAAGCTGAAGTTGACACAATGAACCAAATGGTGCGGAGATACACCAGTCAACGACGATCTTCGAGATGGCCAATGGCAATGATTTTCAACATGCTAGATATTTCTTCACTTGCGGCATATATAATTTATTATGAAAATAATAAAATGATTGTCAAAAAAACGACAGAACGTCGTCAATTTATGCGTAAACTAAGTGAATAACTAGCAATGCCGATGATTGAACATCGCACGGCGTATCCACAAGTAATGCGCCACTTCTCAACAAAGATTGCCATTGAAAGTGTATTAGGCCATATACTGACAGAAACAGTCGTGATAAATCCTGGTCCAGAGACTCCAAAAGAAAAAACCGGAAGGAAAAAAGTAACAGGATCTTGTCATGTCTGCAATGCTTTGCCAATAAGAAGACGGCTAAAGACACGTAAGGCCTGTGCCAATTGTCACCAACCTGTGTGTGACTAGCACTCAGTTAATCGTGTACAATGTGTTCAATGTCATTAATTATAAAAAAAAAAGTTTAATATTTCTTTATTTTTTTAATAAAATTTAGTTGCGTGCATTAATAGAAATTATATAGAAGTCACATGAAGTAAATAAAAAATGAAAGTTAGAATAAAACGTGTGAATTAAAAGATTGTAAAATAAAAGTGCAAAATAAAATTTGTGAAATAAAAAATTGTTTAAATAAAAATTTGTGAAATAAAAGTTGTAAAATACCAATTTGAGTCTGCGGATAAAAGTTTGTAAAATAAAATTAATTTTCTAAGAAAAGGAGGGTACGTGCATTTTATAATCCTTCAAGTTATACTAAATGAAAGTGAGTTTTAATTCATTTTATATACAATCAATTATACGCGTAGATATACAACCAAACTCAAATAAAAATGATGATGATTTGAGTAAACGTAGTCTTATTAATCTCCCTGTGATTGTAAATAACGGTTGCAACTCTTTCTACTTTGAATTAAAATGTATACGGAAATCTCATACGAGTATACCACTTTACTCTGCGAGAGTATAAAATGTTCGGTTACACCCGAACTTAGGTCTTCCTTACTTGTTTTTCTTGAATTTTCAAAACAGAAGACTTGAAATCATTAATATTTATAAAAAACTAAACTGAAGGGTTACAGCAACGTTTTTTAACGCGAAAAAAGAAATTTCTTCACTAAAGAAAGAATCCGAACACCATCGCGCATGCGTCAGAAGCCATGTTAGCGCAGAGTTTCACAACAAGTGCTGCCCGTTTGTTTGAACATTAAATATAGTTTATTCGATTCGCTGGAGAGTAACACTTGGGGAATCGAAGACAGCAATAGTAATTTGTAATATTAGCTACACCGAATTAGCACCGCCTTCACAGAAAAAAGTATTCAGATACGACCTTGGTTCTGATCGGTCAGAATGTATGGCAGCTTTTTGCTTTAATGGTCCGAGATGGGCGGTTCCGACAAATGAGCAGCTTCTTGAAGAGAAAAGAGTGTGTGCAAATTTTTAATTCGATTTTTCAAAAACTGAGGGACTAGTTTGCATATATACAGACGGACGCACATGGCGAAACCGAATCAGCTCGTCACGCTGATCATTTATTCATTTTAATCAATTTTAGGCGCAAGAAACAGTGTTATCAGAAATACAAGCTCTCAGAATTTTATTAGGATAAATCACATATTGCTCGATAAATGCGGTAAAAAGCCAATCGAAAGTTAGAAAATCTTTATATTAGATATCTGGCCAATAGGGGAAGTATTAAACCGATGTAATTAATTTTTGACATCACGACATATTATATAACTGCAAAAAAATATGCCCTTTGACTTTCATTAAGGTACTTCACAGATGGACCGATATTTTCGGTTTCTGGGCACTTTAAAAGTTTTACTGCGATTTATTACTATTATTGGACGTGCGATCGCATACCTTAAAAACTCTTAGTGTGTAAAGGTTTATTTCCATAACGTCATTGGCCCTGAATATATATACTGTAAAGTGAAAAAATCACACTTAATTAAAAATTTTGGTTCGTGGGAAGAGACTGGTTCGTAGCTCGACTTCGGTCATTTTCACAAAATCACATTTTTTAATTCAAAGTCTCAAAATTTTAAATAATCTCATACACAAAATTTGGTTGAAGATCGTCAAGCAGTTCCTACGATATAGGATTTCACCCAAATGGGGGCGGTGCCGCGCCTATTGTCCAATTTTTACACTGGTTGCTATGAAGTCCTTCTCTTCCATTTTGGGTGTTAAATTAAATGTCTCTGACGCATTTTCACAACGTCACATAAAAATTTAAAATAAACTCATACACAAAATTTGGTTGAAGAAGGTCAAGCAGTTCCTAAGATAAAGGATTTCATCCAAATGGAGGCGGTGCCACGCCTATTGTCCAATTTTTATACTGGTTGCTATGAAGTCTTTCTCTACCATCATGGGTGTAAAATTAAATGGTTATCATCGGGTTTCACCTATTTTTACAATGTTTAAAAAAGTCTAAAAGGACTTTCTCCAAGTATGTTTGGTTGAAATAGCTTTAGTGGTTTATGAGATATACACATGAAACCTATTGCATATCGGGGCCACACCCCCTCATTTCATACATATGTATATCCCAATTTATATGCAATACATTAATGAAAATTATTTTATCACAATCCAGCACTATACAAGGAATACAATTTTTTTCTCTAAAAGCCAACTTTGAGGTACATATATGTTCAAAATGTTTACTCACCTGAGGTTCAGTACACGTCCCGTTCGTTTAAATACCTGTCCTTCGATGCTTTCCGCTATACTGAAGGCATAACATGAGCCACACGTTTTCTGATTAGCAGATTGTGTTTTGAAGCCTTTTTCACGCCAATCTATCGCTTCTGGAGGTTGAGGCATTAAAGATGAACCCACAATATCCGATTCAAAGTCAATTTCATTTCCAAATCGTTTACTTTGTAATAGGCGTAGAAAATTTCTTAGATAAGACTCACCATTCTGCAAGTTTAACGAAAAATACTTTTACTTACTACAAATATTAATTGTTACACTAAACTCTATTGTTACCCAGAGTATAACAAAACTGTTTAGCCAACGCGCGTAAATATATTTTAAGAACTGGACATTAGTGAAATAGTTTTGGTGATAGAAATCCCATGCGGATTTAAACTCGTACCCAATTCCAAATTTGTAAAATAATAAAGCTTAGCTATTCATCCTTTTAATTATACATTTACGCTGTTATTCTTTAAAGGTTTATCACACTGTAGGTAGTTATGAAAAACTCTTACATTGAGGAGGGATATTTCCATTAGTTGGTTCTTTTATTTGTGTTCCAGATGACACATGCTAAATTTTTTAAAGAAATCTCTTTCTTTACTTAAGTTAGTGCATATACAGACACAATATATTTATCTTGTCATTCTAACCATAGCGACTTACTTATGTCCTCGGAAAGACAACGACTAATATTATAATGTAAACAATATATTCGACCGAACTATACTATGGCCAAAGTTATAGGTTTTATTGTTAGAATTTGGTAAGATTATTATTGTTCAATTTTTAGACCTATCCAAATACAGAAAAAAAGAAGTCCGACTTCAAAATCTAGTGCTCCGGTTGAGAGCTTATTACTTATTGCAACCGAACCGTCCCCACAAATGATAGTGCAAAAGTCTTTATCAGAAAATAGGTCTAGAACTGAGTATCCAAATTGGTAAGCCCTGGTACGTACATATAAAGATTCCCTCAGCTCAAGGAGGGCCATAAGGTTTGGTTTGGAGCGTATGGTGGTAAGGATCAGAGCTGATGACTCGCATACACCGTGACTCCGGAGAAGCGGGGAGGTGAGGCTCAAACAGGCACAGTCGTCGACTCGGTCTTATCAGACGCAGAAAATATTGGAGGCGAGAATCATCTAAAAAAATACGAAGTCAGCATCGTCCTCATCCAAAAGCACTAGTTTCAGGCTTATAAGTTGGAGTTCCCTTTATTATTCCTGTGGACTTGAGGAAAGAGGCCGTCGGGTAATAACCTATACTGATAACATTGTTCCAGTGATGGAAAAGTACGCATAACATACAACTCTAGTCGGCACTCTACAGACAATTGACTACTTTTTGGCACTATTTGACAAAAGACAAAAATATGTACATATATTTAAAATCTCTTCGTAGTAAAAAAAGCTAAAGCAATTAATAACGAATATAGCCAATTTACAGAGGTAAAAGAAATTTAACAAGAATGAATTGAACGAATATTTATTTGCAAATGTTTTTTGTATCGCGTAGGGATACTAAATTCTCCCTAATTCTTCGGCATGCGTTGAGCGGAGACTTTCAATACAAAATTCAAAACAAATGAAGAACCAAATTAGCTATCAAGACATATGTCGCTTTGAATCAGACTAAAAACTTTATTCGATGGTTGTGTTAATAGCTTGAAATAAAATATTGTATAATTTTTTTAGAAAATTCATTTTAATTTGATTTATTGCGGCACTCTAAACTACATTGGGGCACATTTTAAGCACAATTTAAAATGATCAAATACCATCCCTACATAATTTTTATGGTAAAAAAGTAATTCCTATACACCTATCGTACGAGTTTACCCAAGCGTACCTCAATGCAAAAGCCATCTGCGGGGACTGTCTTAACCGTCAACCCAAGAAGAACTTACCTGGTTTTAAATATCCGGAGGTATACAAGAGGATGTCTCCCTGCTCATTACAGCTCTCGCTTACAGCTGTTGACAGAGGTATAAAAGAATGTGAAATGCTGTTGGCTGGATTGCCAATCAGAAGTGTTGTGCTGGGCATCTGACGCTTAGCTCGCGTTAGTTCAGTGTCAGCGGGTTCTGAGCTGGATTGCAAAAAAGGTGAAGTTGCTAAAAGGAGTGTTGTTCTGGGGGCGGCGCAGTAAGCCATGTTGTGACCGTAAAAAGCATGATGCGGGAACTAAGTACCTTAGATTTTGGGAATACAAATTTTCAAGTAGGAACCTCGAAGGGGTTGATGGAGCTTGCCTCAAAACTGAAGCAACTCCTGATGACGGTTATTTACGAAAATGCCCATCTTTGCGGCCAAGTTTACACCCTTAGAGGAAGCTGTGGAAGGCACTCCTCAACACCGGGTGGGCCAATGCCGGCTCCCCCAGCACCTGTTCAGGAGGCGATTGCACCGGTGTATGGGGTTTGATCACAAAATGACTGAGTGTAGAGCAAAATCAAATGTCTATTGGAGGTGCGGTCGCAACTTCGTATTTAAAGGTAGACCAGCTAGGTGTTTTGTGATGTCGGCTATCTGCCCAATATACTGTGGCAGTGCTGATCGTGGTCTGGAGTAGTCCTGGGAGTTTCAAAGTCTTAACGGACCTTAGGGCTAATGCCGCAATAGTTGTAAGTGAACGCAACTACGATTGCGTAGCTGTGGATTCTTCACAGCTAGGTGTATGTATTGCTATAGAGGGGGAGTTCGGTAGAATGCTTGTCGCTAGTTTGTATTGCCAATTTAGCGAACTACTAGATCCCTATCTGGGCTAAATGGATAAACTACTACTACTTGCGAGTATTAGCCCATTTATCCTAGTTTTGGATGCGAATGCATCGTCTTCGATGTAGTTTAGTAATTTATCCCGACATACGTCTGGATATTAAAGCCACAGTCAAGGCGAGACATTAAGTCAATGGGTGGAGGCTGATAGCCTCCACATTGTGGCGGCTTAAGGTGTTTTAGGAACCTGGGGGTGGAGGAGAAAATTACTCTGTTGTATGAGGTAGTTTGGGGGTAAATGATAGGTTGCTTAGAAAGTGTGAACATATTATGGTTAAGAAAATTAAGTGATGGAGCTCAAGTGGTAGTAGTTTCGACTAAGAGTTCTGACCGGAGACTCAATTCTGGTACCACAGAGAGCATTGCATTGATCAACGCATTGATTTGATCCGCTGTTCTTTTGAGTGCCGAGGGGTAAGGCTGTCGTTAAGAGGTACCCACGTTAAGCACACCGAACTTTGTCTCATGAGATTTTCTCACTGGTTTTTCCATACTTTGGCACGCATCACATTTCTTCTGCCGGACTCTGGTGTAATGCTAGGTACCTGACTTTGTATAACGCGACTATTTTCCTATCAGTAGTCTAGTGACAGGGACGATGGCTGGTATGACAATTTCGTCTGTATAGCCCTTATGTTAGATTCCATTGTACTATTCGAGTAGGTCGCCTACAATCAGACTATACAGCAGAGGTCAAAATACTGTCCAAAGTCGAATATAAGGATTTCGAAATCACTGAAATTTCATGTTTAACCGGCCGCTATACTTTTATATCCATAAGCTGTAAGTAAATAAAATTCGGGCTTTGAATATTTTTTCCTGCCTACATACACATAAAATAGAAAAACTATTTGAGCAAACCTTGGTCCGGAAAAAACGTGAGCGCTAAGCTGATCTCATCAGCTCCGCTTGATTTAAATGCAGTATTTGGGCAATGTTTTGTTCCGATATCTCAATTCTTGCTTGATTTACATACTCTAAAGTAGAATGAGAATGGTAAGATAATATCATACATATCATACAACAAAACTGGAATGGGATTTCATCTAAAAATAGGAGGTGCCACCGCGCTAATCCAATATTTACATCGGTTAATAAGTAACAATTTCATGAGACCTCACCCGTAATACCGCTTTCACTGCGGTCCCTGTACCAAATTACAGTTTTGTATCATAATTTGCGCTTAGTCGTCGAATTAATGTTATATATTTTCAGAAAAAGCTGTTCTCTAACTTTCATAAGGGTGCCTTATCGATATTTTCGATAAAAACTCAGCCATAGCCATTGAGGTCCCATATTCGGTATCTGGGGGCTTGAAAAGTCACGACGCTATTTCGATCATCTTTGGACTATGTGTAGACACTGTGGCAAAGTTGTATTTCGATAAAGTTATTGGCTCTCGATTTATTTACAATAAAGCGATATAATCATATGAAATTTAAGATTTTGATTTTTTCGGTAGGCGGTGCCACGCCCATTGTAAAATTTGGATACTCTTATGAAGCCTTTCCGTACCATCTTGAGTATAAAATTACAAGTAAATGTCTTTAAACCATACCTTAATTGGGTCGTCACACTTTTAATAGTTAACCGTTATATGTTGAGTGGACGTTGTTATCATTTGATTTCACCCATTTTTACAGTGTACGAAAAAGTGTTAGAAAGACTTCCTCCCAGTATGTTTGGTTGAAATAGCTTTAGTGACTAGTAAGATATGCACATGAAACCTATTAGGAGGCGGGGTAATGTCCATTTTTAAAAAGCCTTAAACCAAAGACCAATATCAAATTACAATAACGTATATTAATTTATGGCTTAGTTATGGCACTAGTTATGGTCGGCAGAAATCCCCCACTGAACCCTCCCCGAGGGTGCCGACTGGTAATAGATACCACAGTTTCCCGAAGTAAGCGGGGACGAGCTGGTAACAGATCGCCCCTGTCGTAGACGTGAGGAATCTAGCTAAGGTCAGACTTCTTACCTGTGTGTTCGATGTTCCTCAATAGCACAGCATACAGGTAAGGAGCCTTACCATGGTCGGGGGTACTATGAAGGGCTGGATCAAGGTGTCATGCGACCCGTGCCGAGGATCAACCTGGCTGGGGGCCCTTAAATAGCCCAGTCTCAAACGGAGCTTACGGATACCTGGCGCCCTCCGTAATATGATAGCCTTACTTGCGTAGCGGGGGCTATGCGCTAGCGGACACACATTCCCCCACACTCGTGAGACCACTTATGAACATGAACAACAAAACGTATAAAAACAAACACACAAGGGAGTCCGGATCTCCACCAAAAAATCCGGAGGGAGCGAGTTGCTCCCATAAAAGAGCAGCGTTTGCAACGAGCTCGTCAACAATCGGCAAGAGGACAGGAGCGAAGCTTGGTCCCGCAGATAAGGCAGGCTCAAGGAGGGGGGCAGAAGCTAAAGCTGGCCCCAAGA